TTACTTTTGAGTGAGTCTATAGCTTTGTATCCAGGGCTTTGTTACCATAGAAATAATTCAAATGTTACTTATCACCAGCGTGCTTTATCGTAACCGGACCGCGCAAATTTCCAATAAACATTTTTCGCAATTACATTTTACTTCATTGTAAACGATGAACGATGAAATTTAACTACGTGCGTCGCCTTAGTCTCCAACCACAAAACAGTTCTTCAATAAATCCCGCCGTTTTCATAAAAGAAAAAACAAGTTTTCGGTTATCTAGCCATTTAAATCCAAGAAAAAATATTTCATTCTTTGTTTTGAATAAAACATTATTTACTGACTAATGTAAATAATAAAAAAATCAAATTAATAATAGTCATAAAATAAAAATTGATTCTGTAATATGTAACAATGGAGGTTTTAAGTTTCAGAAAAACCTTAAAAAATAAATAAAAACTTGAGCATGTTACATGTTTTTAAATTTATTTGGGGAGGGTCTGAAACGCTATTTCCTGCATTGGGGGGGGGGGTAAATTTTGCTGACACAAAGGGGTTCAGCTTGATTTTGGAGGAGCGACGCCTCCAACATTTTTTCGAGGGGGCGCCCGCCCTTCTACCCCCCCCCCCCCCCATGCCGCCACCACTGCGAAGAGAACCACCTTGAACATCAGTGCCGAATATAAGGCCACATTATACATCCGCGCAGAAGAAGGTCGCATAACACATCTGTGCCGAACTTAGAGAGTCACATCCCGGTCACGTCCAATGGCAAAGAGAATCACATCCAGTGCCGAAGAAGGCCGCATTACACACCAGTGCAGAAAAGCGCCACCCCAACCAATGTTCACGGCGCAGATAAATCCGTTTTTGTTTTTATTTTAATAAATTGTCGGTTTTGACATTTGACATTTTCCAACACCACGTTTTGTTCGTTGTGAATATGTTACGAATATCGTAGTTATGAACTGATGTATGAACCAATTAGTCGTATATTTGAAAATGATATTTAAAGTGCCTGTGCAATGCCCACCCTCACGTTTCCCATGTTAGATCTGTGTATAACTGAAATGGGCAGTTATTGATTTTTTTGCTGAAAATGGTTACTCGTATCCAAGTAAATTTGGGATATTTCTCGTGTTGTAGACACGCCCACCTATCGTGAAACGGTCGACTGTTTCCGGATTTCCGACTCTCGCCGAAAGTGCGCCACCAAATGACAAAATGTGAGAGGAAGTCATACCCCTGAGCCGTAATAACACTGGTCGTTCAGTATACATACTTTTAAACAATATACATTTTTCGGTCGGCGTTTTTTCTTTTTTTTTTTGTCTATTTTTTTTTTTTTTTTTTTTTTTTTTTGAGAGAGAGTTTTTAAGATGTTGTGTTGTAGGCAGTTGCAGTGAAACGTATAGCCATAGTGTATGTATTCACACGTTTCTAATCGATCCGAAGGTGCGACGTCATTCAACTGTCCTCGTCCATAACAAAACGACTAGGTTTAAAGAGAAACGCCGACAACATAAACACTTTTGAAAGAAATAGATTCCGGACCAGCCCATGATCACCGAGGCGGATTTCAGATTAGAGAGAGACGTCCGGCAAGTGTTCAAATC